GCATAAAATTTGATGCATGATTTTTGTAACGAGTTAAATTTGTGCCTGTTTAGTTATTTTACTCGCCGAATCAAGGTCGGACCAAACCAAATATTTCATTTGTATCTTAAGAGAAAACGTACAAAAATCTCGTCACAGATTTCTTAATAAAATGCTAATAAAACATATCGTAAAGTCCATCTAGTTCGTTTGTTTCCCCATATGGCCTCATTGCTCCAAACTAGTGCTCACATTTTTTTTTTTCGATTTGCAACTTGTTTTGTACCTTGTAGGTGTGGGCGTATGGGTTACGAGCGTAACTATACAATACTTTCTTCGGGTTATACCACATCGCTACATGTATTTCTAGCAGTGAAATTTATCTTTCGTTCGTCAGACGATTGCTTTGAACTCATTCCGACGGTGCAAGTTCCTATAGTTGTTGGAGCCACATTATAGTTTTGCTCCTGGGCGCCGACCTCCTCACCGCCTCGGCCGCAGACTTTTAGACTTGTAAATGGAGTCGGGAGGGAAGTCCCGCAGCCAATGGTCCGGAACGTCACGACGGCCCGTCGTGTGTAACTCAAGGCATTTGCATCGTTGACGCGTTATGATCTGGTTCCCGGTAAATGAGACACGACCGGGCGAGTGCAAGAGTGGGAGCGCACCACTGTAGAACAACACTACTTACTTGTAGCGGTGGGACTGTGCGGTGGGCGCCGGCCCGGCCACACCCCGCCCCGCCCCGCCCCGCCCCGCTCCCTTGGCGCCAAATAGTGGAGTGTACTCGGCGGAACGGGTTCGTGGATGTGTGGCCAAGTAGTACAGCGGCACGGCTCATTCAGCGCATAATGATGTAAACAACAGCGTAGCCGTGACGGGGCGGGGCGGGGCGCGACCTGCGCAGCACAACAACCAGCGCGGGGCACTTGTTGTCCACGACCGGCACAGGGGGTGGTGGCTCCTCCTCAAGGGTGGGCCGCCTCCAGCGCTACCCCCGCCCCGGGGCGTGGGGTAGCGGCGCCGCCCTGTCTTGGTAGCTCCCCC